AAGAAGGAAGGAAGGACGGAAGAAGGAAAGGAAAAAAGTTTCCCTCCATGTAATAGTGATGTTAACTGTAACAACAATCAGACCGAGGCGGTGGCTTCCAATGCTGTATCCAGCACTTTGGGAGGCTTAGGTGGCGACGATCATTGAGGGTCAGCTGAAACCCCGTCCTCTACTAGAAACACGAAAAAGTAGCTGTACCTGGTGGTGTATAAGCCTGTGAAGCCCAGCCTACTTGGAGGCTGAGGCAAGGAGAGATCCACTTGAACCAGGGAGTCAAGAGGCTGCAATGAGCCAAGATCACTGCCACTGCACTCCAATCTGGGGAGCAGATGCGAGATTCCATCTTTAAATAAAAAAGATTAGTAAAAGAAAAAAAAAAACAATCAGGCAGGGCGTGGCTCATGCCGTAATCCCAGCAGTTTCGTAGCTGATGGGGGAAAGTAATCACCTAAGGTCCAGGAGTTTCAAGACCAGCCTGGCCACATGGTGAAACCCTGTCTCAACTAAATACAAAAAAAAAATTAGCCAGACAGTGGTGTGCGCACACCTGTATACCAGATTACTCAGCAGGCTGAGGCACGAGATCCGCTTGTACACCAGGAGGCGGAGTTGGCAGTGAGCCGAGATCACGCCACTGCATCCAGCATGGATTGACACGAGTTGAGAACTTCGTCTCAAAAAAAAAAAAAAAAAAAAAAAATCGACAAGAATTATCTGAATCATGTCAACTTGAAATGCATAATTAACATTTTAGTTTATTTCTACTAGTTTTTCTATGCACTTTTTAGCATAGTTAAGATCATGTTGGACCAGGTGGTGGTGGCTCATGCTTGTAATACCCAGCACTTTGGGAGCCAGGCAGGACAAATCACTTGAGCCCAGGAGTCCAAGACCAGGTTGGACAACATGGTGAAATCCCATCTCTACAAAAAGTACAAAAATTACCGTCATGGTGGCGTACACCTGTAGTCCTACCCTACTCAGCTGAGGCTGAGCGCAGTGGGACTGCTTGAGCTAGAGGCAAAGTTGCAGTAACACCTAAGACACCCCACTTGTACTCCAGTCTAGGTGAACAGAAGACTCTGACCCAACTCAAAAAAAAAAAATGCTATAAGAGATATATATATATATATAATTTTAAATTTATGTTTTTTCACTTAATGTACTCATTTTCATCCCATCTTTAATAAAAATGCTTACTAGGATTTTAATGCCTGCATAATCCTGTCCATGGTCAACAATATTCCCAATAGCCATTTAGACTAACTTCACCATTTTCAGTGTAGTGAAAAAACCTTGGAAAACCCAATATATCCATAATAGAGGGCAGTGGCTTAAGTTAATTAGGTTACATTTATAACATACGGAATACGCATGAACCCATTGGCAAGTAATAATATGGGAAAGAAAATACTCACCATTCATTCAGACTTCTCACTCAACATAAGCCTTTGTTGAGTAACCGCTACTTGGGCAGCCATTGTGGCCTAAGCCTGGGGAATGACCTAAGATAACTAATGCTGCTCAGCTCCTGCTGGAGCTGCTGCTCTAGGACAGAGAGGCCAGTGTCACTAACCTGAAAAGAAGCAATTGGTCATTCTTCTCAATAAGTGCTCCGAAGCTTAAATAATAAAGGTGACTATGGATTTTTTTTGAGAGGGAGTTCTCGCCTCTCTGTCGGGGGCAGGGGAGTTGCAGTGGGTGCAATTCTCTGCTCACAGCAAGGCTAACGCCGGCCCGGGTTCAACGCCGTTCTCCTGCCCCCAGCCCTCCCAAGTTAGCTGGAACTACAGGCACTGCCACCACGGCCGCAGGCTGATATTTTTTGTATTTTTAGTAGAGACGGGGTTTCAACCGTTTAAAGGATGGTCACTTCGATCTCTGACCTCGTGATCTGCCCCCTGGGCCTCCCAAAGTGCTGGGATTACAGGCGAGAGCCACCGCGCCCGGCCAATAAGGTGCTATGATTTTTAAAAAGGGTGTGGGCAGCCTACTTAAATAGGGGGTCAGGCAAGGCCACTCTAAGCAAGTTGGACCTGACAAGGAAGGCGTCAGTCAAGAACTAGGAAAAGGAGAAGGAACAGCACAAAGTCTTGTGGAAAAAGGAAAATGAGATTGACATTTTCTGGGAACTGAAGATGATATACACTGAGGTTGGAGGCCAGATCATACAGAGTCTCATAGTCTTTGGTAAGGAGTATGATTTTATCTGAAGGGCATTGGAAAGTCATGGAAGGTAAGGATGTGATCTAATGTGCTACAGAGAGATAAGAAGGAGCGGGCAAGAACGGAAGCAGGGAGTGGAGTCAGGAGGCCTATCCAACAGTCCAGGCATGACAGTGGCAGAGGAGATGGTGAGAAGTGGGTAGATTGGATATACACTGTGGAGGTAAAACCAACAAGGCTAGCTGATACACTGGATGTGGCAGAAAAGAAAAGAAACACAGCTAACACCCAGATTTTTGGTTTAAGACAAGAAAGTGATGTAGAGACATTCAGAGAGTTTTAGAGGGAGGAGAACTGGTCTGTAGGAGAACATCAGGAGTTCTATTTTAGTTGTTTTAAGATTGAGATGTCTAGACACATTCAAGGGAAGATGCTAAATAGGTAGCTAGAGTTAGCTCTTTGGCTTGGAAGCACAGCCTCAGCTGCAGTGAAACACTGGGGACTTATCAAATAGAGGCAGGAGGGAAGGCTGCAGAAAATGACTCTGACATGAGCAGTGAGATGGACAGACACGGTCTTTGTGGACCTTGACAAGCATTTCAGTGAAATGGTAAGAATGAAGCCAGACTAAAATGGGAGAGGAGGAAGACAAGACAGACAACAACTCTTAAGAAGTTTTGCTTTGGCTGGGCGTGGTGGCTCATACCTATAATCCCAGCACTTTGGGAGGCCAAGGCAGGTGGATCACGAGGTCAGGAGTTCGAGACCAGCCTGACCAACATGGTGAGACCCTGTCTCTACCAAAAATACAAAAATTAGGTGGTAGGCCTGTAGTCCCAGCTACTCGGGAGGCCGAGGCAGCAGAATCACTTGAACCTGGGAGGCAGAGGTTGCAGTGAGCCAATTCTTGCCATTGCACTCTAGCCTGGTGACAGAGCAAGACTTTGTCTCAAAAAAAAAAAAAAAAATTAGCCAGGTGTGGTGCCGCGTGCCTGTAGTCCCAGCTACTAAGGAGGCTGAGGCAGGAGAATCGCCTGAACCTGGGAGGTGGAGGTTGCAGTGAGCTGAGATCACACCACTGCACTGCAGCCTGGGCAACCAAAAAAAAAAAAATAAATTTTGCTTTAAAAGGTAGCAGAGAAAAGG